TGGTCTAGAGGTAGAAACAACATTTTTAGATTTGAAAGAAGATTTTAAAAAATTTCCTTTCTGACATGTTTCACAAAGAGCATCTAAGTTGAACTTCAACTTAGGAAGTCCTCTGACCAGATTAAGCTTGTTAATCTGAGATATACGTCTCATACTAACATGACCCAATCTTATATGCCAGACCCATTGCTCATCATTAACAGACATAAAGCATTTTACATTTTGATTTTTCAGTTCTGAAAGATTTATCTTATAAATGTTGTTCTTCCTTTTCCCATTAAAGAGGATTGAACCATCTTTCTGACTAACAGCTTTACAACATTTTTTATTAAAGATTATATCATAACCATTGTCACTTAATTGACTTATGGACAATAGATTATGTGTTAATCCTTCAACAAGCAGAACATCAGAGATAGAAGGGAGGTTACCATTACCAATTGTTCCAGAGCCAATGATTTTGCCCTTTTGGTTTCCTCCAAACTTCACGTCTCCTCCAGATCTAAGTTCCAGGCTTTGGAACATAGACCTTCTTCCCGTCATGTGTCGTGAGCATCCAGAGTCCAGGTACCATGACTGGTGTCTTAACTTTGCTGCTAAGGACATCTGCAACAAATATTATTTTATCTTTAGGTAGCCATATCTTTTTGGATCCTCTAGGGTTAGTTGGTCTGAAGTTCTGCCTGAACTTCTTTTCCTTAAAAACTTTTTTGTTCTAATGAGGTTTTGGTTTAATAAAGCTTTTAGTGATCTGATCTGTACGTGTATGCTCTATGTCATTTAGGTGACCATATTTAAAATGAATGTACAAAGGAGTATAGTTGATGATCAGCTTATCAACAGGTTTTGGATTTAAATCCTTCCTAGAGGGTGATTCATATCCAACTCCTTTTCTGTTATTCCTGCTAACACCATAGATCATAGAAGCCATTTTACTTCTATCTAGGCCTCTGGACAGAAATTTCTGAAAACTATAGTCATACTCTTCTAAAATGTTTTTGGAGCAAGACGCAGTATCTGAATCAGATTTTTGTTGAGCTTTTTCTAACTCAGTTTTTATTTGAAAATTATTTGCTTTAAGCTCAGCAATTTCTGAATTCCTCTGATCAGTCTCAGATGCAAGATAGCTCTTAAGCTTCTTGTATTTGAGTCTTATTTTACTATAATTTTCAACTAACTCTGATAAGCTTTCAACTAGCTCAGCTCTGGTAAGTTCAGAAAATACCTCTTCTGAATCTGATTCTGATCCAGATTCAGATGTTTCTTCATTGTCTTCTGTATCACCCATCAATGCAACATTTGCACATTCGTCCTCTGACTCTGATGAGGCTTCAGAGTCATCTGAGTCATCACATGTGGCCATCAGGACTTTCTTCTTTTTCTCAAACTTCTTTCTGGGTTTCTCCTTCTGAAGTTTGGGACATTCACTTTTGTAGTGTCCTGGCTCCTTACACTCAAAGCACACAACTTCTTTCTTGCCAGATCTTTTGTGTCCAACAGATTCTCCACGTTGTTCTGGTCTTTTGAAGTTTCTGAACTTCTTTTCCTTATGCTTTCAGAGTTGATTTATCCTTCTGGAAAGCAAAGACAGTTCATCTTCATCTAAGGAAGATTCTCCAGAGCTTTCCTCAAGTACTTGAAAAGCTTTCGTGTCAGATTTTTTATTAGATTTTAAAGCAATAGACTTACCTTTCTTCTGAGGTTCGTCTTCTTCCAACTCTATCTCATGACTCCTTAAGGAACTGATGAGTTCCTCCAGAGTGATCTTGTTAAGATCCTTTGATAGCTTCAGCGCTGTGACCATGGGTCTCCACTTCTTTGGCCGACTTCTGATGATCTTCTTCACATGATCAGAAGTGGAGTATCCTTTGTCAAGGACCTCCAAACCAGCTGTTAGAATCTAGAATCTTGAAAACATGGTTTCCACAGATTCTTCTTCTTCCATCTTGAAGGCTTCATACTTCTGAATAAGCGCAAGAGCCTTTGTCTCCTTCACCTGAGAGTTTCCTTCATGTGTCATCTTTAATGACTCAAACATGTCAAATGTTGTTTCTCTATTTATGATTTTCTCATACTCAATATGAGATATAGCATTTAACAGAATGGTTCTAGCTTTGTGATGATTTCTGAAATCTCTCTTCTGTTGATCAGTCATTGACTTTCTGTCAATCTTTTTGCCCTCACCATCAGTGGGGTGAATGTATCCATCAATGACCAAATCCCATAGATCAACATCATAACTTAGAAAGAAACTTTCTATTCTATCCTTCCAATAATCAAATTTTTCTCCATCAAACGTTGGAGGATTTGTGATGATTCTATCTTTATCATCATATTTGTTGTATGAGGTTGAAGTTGAAGTTTCAGCCATAATATCAAGAATAATAGATCAAGAGTTTTTTCAACTGGATCTTTCTCTATCAATGTTAAGTGATAGCACTTCAGAGCCGGAGCTCTGATACCAACTGAAGGTAGGAAAACACTTAGAAGGGGGGGCGGGTTGAATAAGGGGTTTCAAAAACAATTATGACAATAGAAAATAACAAGTTATTTTTATCCTGGTTCGTTTGAACTCAAACTACTTCAATCCACCCGGCCAAGGTGATTTCGCCTCTCTCAAACGAGGACTTAATCCACTAAATCAAAACTTGATTACAGTGATTTCCACTAAGACAACTATCTTAGTCTTCTCAAGAATCCTGACCACAACTTGGTCTCTCAAGGAACTTTTACAAGAGTAAATTATAAATGTGTTTAAGTTGCTTCTAAAAAGCTATTATCACAACTGTAATTTTTACACAAAATGAAGAACAAATAAAACTTAATGTTTTATGAAAGTTGTTTGAATATTTTCTTTGATTGTCTCTTTGAATTCTTTTCAAAATCTTGTATCAAAATGTTGTAGTTGAAGTGTTGATGAAGACTTCTTTATATACACCACTTTCTCAATAGTGTGTAGAAGAAAGTACTGTAGGATGTAGACATAAAGGACAAATACTTTTCGTCTTGATTTGACATTCCCTTTTTGCCTGAATTCCTGTGTCATGCACGAATGAGAAATAGTACCGTTGGTAGACCTTGGGTTTATCAACGTCTCTTTTCAAATGAACATATATGAAAATAATCTTTCATCAGATCCTCTGATGTTGTTCCTTGTTCTTCTTATCAGAGTCACTCTATTAGAGTTTTGCAGCAAAGTGCTTAGCGTGAATTATGATCAGAGTTGACTTGATTCAGAGCCTCTGTACTTGCAGCGTTTAGTTTTCAGAGTCTTCTGAATATTCCGAGTCTTTATACTCTGCGCTCAGAGTCTTCTGTAGGTAGCGCTCCAGAGTCTTTTGTGTTGTTGGCGCTTCAGAGTCTTCTTCAACTTGCGCTTCAGAGTCTTCTGCTGGCATTTCAGAGTCTTCTGCAGTTGCACCTCCTACACTCAGAGCCTTCCGTTAAAATGTTCAGAGCTTTGCTTTAAATAGCGTTCAGAGGAATTCTTTGTGTCTTCAGATGAATATTTATTTAATATCTGAAACAAAAACACTTGAACAAAATTAGAGTATATATTTTCTTATACAAAATTTCATTAATGTTATCATCAAAACATTGAGATATATTTATAACCAATTTGTGTTCTAACAGCTACTTTATCGTGTATTTCGACTTTATTTATATATGTCATCTTTAGACCATTTGGATTTATATACGTCATTTTTTTGCATATCGATTGTATGTTTTAAATCTCGCCATAAAATATGGTACATAACATTTATAAATCCTCGGTTGAATAAACATAAACAAAACACAACATGCATTGTTCTGATATGTTACAGAGATGCATCTCCGTAAAATAAACATGCAAAATACCTTCGGGGTGGGATGGATGATATCTGTTTTAAAATATTACAGAAATACATCTTCAGAACATTAACATTTAATTTTTAGACAAAGTGCATCCAGAGATATATCTCCGATATCTGAGAGGCATTTTGAATTTTTTTTAGTGTTTTTCCACCCCATAGGGTGGGATAAAAATAATTTCTTTTTATGATACAATGAAGAATTTTATTCACTAAATCACTTCAATACAATGACATGTGTGTATGTTTGGTTTAGCATTTAGAAGAAACTAAAGTGTCAAATTGATTTTGAAATGATTTTAAGGTATTTGATTATTTAAAGTAAAATGATTATGCCTACATAATTGCAGTTTTTGAGATATTAAAGATGGTTTTTACATTAAAGTTTATTATTCAACTTGATTTTACATAAAATTATTCAAACATAAGTTACTCTACATTCAACTCATATTTAACCATAATCAATTTTACAGGTCAATTCATTTAAATTTTTTTTTTCACCGCATATCCAGACAAATGCAAAATCAAAAAGAAAAACTACAAGACACAGGAAACAAGATCAGAATCTCCACATGCAACACCAACATTGATCTACAAGCTAGACAAACCCAAGATTCATCTTTCCTTAATTGCACTTTGGTCCTTTTCATTTTCAGTGTCGCATATTTTTGTCAACTTTGCAACTGCATTTCCATAATATCTGTGAATAATGATAAGCATGTTTTGCAAATTGTTGAGTTCACACTCAAAGAAGAATAAACTCCTTTGCACAAAATAGAGGTATTAAATATGTACACAAATGTATCACTAGCCTCTAAGAAACTTGTTATACAATATAAATTAGAGTCAATAAACCAAAACTCATCTTTCAACTCTAGTCCAGAAGAAGAAGAAAAAGAGTAAACAAAATGCTACAAAATCACACTAAACAAACAAAGAGCCGCGCCGCAAAAGCTACACTCTCATCTCATCCATGTCTTTATAACATCAATCTACAGAAATATCGCGCAAATCTTCCTCAACAAAAGTTACACCTCTTTCATGGATGTTCATGTTTCCTTTTACCTGCACCATCTTAAACTCAAGTCTTTTCTTTGTTGAGGTTCGGCAGCAATTAGCAGGAACAGACGTGTAATGAGCACGAGTGATCTATTGTTGCGGCTGCACCTCCAACCGATAGGCTTGTATCTCCATTGGAGATATAGAAACATGCCCTTCTTGTGCAAGATCGGCAAATTGTTCTGTGAATCCTATTATTTCAGGATCTTCATGGAGAAGATTCAATGAAGTTGCTTTAGCTTTCAAAACTGTAAGATCTTTGAACATGCTGAACAGATTCACGGGGTCGTCGGCTAGTCTAGTGCACTCTGGTGATCTTCCCTTTCGACAGTATGAAGAATCATAATGTCGACGGTTCAAGATCAGAACAAATCTAGGACTTTCAGGTGGTTGCTGCAAAAACTTTAAAGGCTTAGGAACCTTAAAGTTCACTATGTGGAGATCACATGGCAGGGAAGTGGCGAGGGGAGAAAATGATCGCGGCAGTGGTGGCATATCTGACAATTCCTGCGACTTCTTGGAAATGAATGCATGTAATGGGTAGTTCAAATGAGAACCAACACGGTGAGATAAAAGGGAAGGGTTATGAGCGAACGAGCTTGAAACTGAATTTGATATGAAGGAAATATTGGATTCGACAGTTAAGTGGAAGACGACATTCATTACACGGTTATCCATCACTCCTTGGCCAAGACCACGGCCATCGTCTTTTACCAAACGGCGGTCTAGCATTATCTCTAGCCATCCATTTTGAAGGCTTGCCACGCCCAACGCTTGTCGAGAATGGACAGAAAACCGTCGACCGTTGGATCCTTGTATGAATGCAAGAGAGGGCATAGGGTAGTAGTTGCCTTGGAGGGGAATCTTATCGTAAGTTTCTCTTCGACTCATCTGAAATCCATTTAAATCAGAATAAAAAACCTTTTTGCTATCGATATCAGTTTTATATCTAACTATCATCTCCCTATCATTGAAATCATTGTCAGTGAGCTCAACATGATATTCCTTTTCAATGACAAGCCCTTGGACTGCACTCTCGCCGGTATATATTCGGGTGCTATGAGAAATCGGCGATTTCTCCCAAGCTGTCTTTGGATAAGAGAATACTTCATGCAACAAAGACCCCTTTGAGATCAGCATAAGTCCATCTCCTTCGATAATTGGCTGAGCTTCACCACTCGGCTTAAACAAGTACGCCCCACCCGAACTATCATACATACCGATTTCCTCATTTACAATATTCGGGGAACTATTCATTAAGGTTACCTTCTGCAACAAACCATACCTTACATTGAAAGTTAGCTTTTGATGCTGATTCTCAATTTCAACAACATCACCTTCAATTTTTCCACAAGAATACGGTGAAGGACAGGTAACTGAACTAGCCTTGGAGAAAAGTTTCAACTTTGCAGGCTCGGCCTTTTCACAACCGACAAAACCATTTCCAATGTAATATGTTTCCAACCCCATTGCAGGTACCAAAACTTTCCAGTAGACTCGGTGCTTCCCTGTAAAGATCTTGCTGTTGTCATACTGCAACTCGGGAGAAATTTGGCTATGAACACAACTCATGTTAGTGTCAACAACAGTTACGTCAGGACGGTCAACAACAACCATCACAACTTCTTCTCTGGTTTGTTCCAAAGGATTATAAAAGACAACGGAATGGTAAGTACCGTCATGAAGATTTATCACTTTATGCAACGGCTGGGCATCATATTTAGATCTCACTATTGCTGGCTCAAACTCTGATGGACTTTGATCTAATTTATCATAACGGATTCCAAGAAGAGGCTCGATCCCCTTAGACATAAAAATTTGCAAGTCTTGTAACGAGGTATGCATTCGAGTTCCGTAGTCCTTAACCACGTGATCTTTTGCAGTACCGGTTACGCCGTCGTGATGCTGAAAAAGAGCCAAGTTCCTTCTCGCAGCAGTCAACTTATACGAAAACGCCATCGCAAATTTCTCGCAATGTGCTCTCCGACAGAAACCAAGTGTTAGAGCTACCATCATTTCTGTTGCTCGAAGTGTCTGCTCCAGTACCCTGTCAACAGCCTTAAAGAATGGCCGTGAAACATAATAACCGCTCCAGTAATCTTGTTGCCGATCAGCATACGTAAAAAAGTCACCGGACAGGGAAGGAAAACCTTCAACTAGACCAGATCCGACTTCACCAGGAGATGTGTAATTTATTCTTTCCGCTTCCTCACGAAGCATTACAAAGTAGTCTTCCAAAGTACCAAACTTTGCCTCCGCATTCAGACTAGGGTTTGAATTGATATAATCAAACAACATTTGGTAATTTCTGAACTGCGCTTCTGCCTCCTGGACATTAATATAGCGAAAATCATCTCCGAGTGGAACAAGAAGAGTGTTTGTTCGGTACAGAGTAGATTTTTTCCTGTATTGATCAAGTAACTTAAGTGCCCATTCTTGAACATTCTCCTGAGTGATCTCCTCCGGACTTGGACCCCACGGACACTTTTCATAAGTGAACCCCTCCATGCGTGCAAAGTCAAACTGACAGCAGATAGCCGGCTCAGGGCCACATGTATGAGGTATATCGTACGAATAAAACGGCATCATATGGACGAATATATCAGTGGTTTCCTCTGCATCCCAGCTTTGGCGCCATACGTATTCTAAATTCTTATGCCATGCAAGTTCCTTCTTTACCTCATAATGAGTTCTCTGGATAAGCATGTTATCAAAACCCATACGACGTAGAAGATATGCCATGGTTGATGAATAACCAAATGGATCAATGGCCCAATTATTTTTAGGAACAAAGCCAATGGTGTCATTCAACCACATGTTTCCTTCTGCAATCTGATACATAATTTCACTAGGATTAAGACCATCACAAAAATAATATAAATACCTGTAAAGTAAAAATGATAATTTCTGATACGAACATGAAATCATATGGCATGGCACTGATGACAGGTTTAAACATGGAATCTGTTTACTTTCACATACCGAGTGCACTACCACATACACAAACTTAGGATCTATTTACTTCCTAAAAAGATTTTCAGTCTTCATTTTCTAAAGTTTCTGATTATTTTTAAATTGCTAACAAGGAGATGAAAGACTCATAAAGTGAACAATTGTGATAAAAACAAGATGGAAGACAAGACAAGTTGTGAAGGATGCATTTTCAGAAACAATGAAAACAATATTTTAGCATTTTCAAAATTTCTTAAATTGTAAGATATGTTTTTAAAAACTGTAAAAGAATAGTGAAGAGATTATTGAATCTATATTCTCTTATGCATATTAATTGAAGTGAAATTGAAAACAGGAAACATGAGAAGTAAATGGGCCCTGAAAGAGAGATTGTGTTCCTCAGTAGTTTTACTGAATAGCAAAGCATGGAAGTGATCATATTAAAAACCATCAATATTCCACCTAATATCAGGCATAATGATCTACGTAGCACCGACACCGACACTTGTGATTATGTTTAATATATTCATTTTTCAAATTATTACCGGTGTTAATGTTGTGTTTCCGGTGTCGGTGCTTCATAGATAATGATACATGTTATTAAGAAAACCTAAACATAACTAGACTTTCCCTGTTAGTGATTGGCGCAAAATATTGTAGCGAAACATCCAAAAATAAACAACAATAATAACAGTATGTACAAAAGGAAGGATAGACATAGCATTCAGCATATACCTGTTCAATTATAGCAAAGTAGTGGGAATTGGCCTGCATCAAGGAGAACAACTTTAAAAGTCAAATTTCCCTAAATAAATTGTTGACTCCATCACTAAGCAGCATTAACAGTTAAGCTTTAATGAGGTTCATATCTAGACATAATAATTATTCCTTAGGCACAGACATATTTCTAGAGCATGTACTTGATTTATAGTAAGAGATAAATGGAAGCAGCTTAAAATTCAAAAAGAAGATAACAAAACGATAAGGATAAAATGTATTATGGAACCTAGCCTCTGCAAATTATTAGTTGAGTAATTCAACAAGAATGAAGCTACTACATCTGGATTTATAGAATATATATACACAACAGATATTGTCTGTAAAGTAAGATAAGAATAGTAAGGTCAGCATCATATTACCTCATCATTCATCACCCAACCGCCTCCAACAATTTCTAGCTGCCCGTTTTTCACTAAATTGATGAATGTTTCCTTCATGACATCTGTGGTACTGGTATCCCTCCACCATCTCTCTAAGTAAGACATCTCTTCCCATATGAATTTCCGGCGAGAATCCTGTTTATCAATCAGATGGTCAAAAATCATAAATCAAGTTACCCTCAAACTTGTGACTTGAAAAAAATAAAAGCTAATGATGAAGCTGAAAGGGCTACAATCAATATTTTCTCCATCTCAGTGGAGCTTTTTAATCTCTTATTCAAACACAATTGCATTAATAATAATAATAATAATAAGAATAAGAACACTATTTACTTTTTTTGTATAGTTGTTACTATTTTTGTTATCCTAGGCAATGCACCTGTAGATATCTTGTAGCTTGAAGTTAACTTTTGCACCATTTAACTCCACTCACAAGTCACAATCCAGCAACAACATAAATTTATTAATCCACTCCAACTTATTCACAAAAAATAAAGTAATGCAAGATACACACAAACAATATGTAGCACCAACACATCATATTGAAGGCGTGCTCGGTGGTCGACGCGTGTTAGTGTCCGACACCAATTCAACACCATCGCATGTGGTTACATTCAATAAATTTGTTTGCTCGTAGTAATATTGGAGTCAACATGGAGTGAAGTTTTTGGTGTTCACATCAGTGCTTCATAGCACATACACACTTTTCATTAATCAAACGTCAAACCTAGTTAGCCAATTACTCACCTATATTAACACAGGGTTTGTGGCATTTATATGTACTAAATATATAAACAACTAGCAAGTTAATGATAGGAACACACCTGATTAACTGTGATGCTTGGTTAACTTAAGTTATGTGATATGTGTGTAGTGTACCTAAACTTTTCCACAAATCATGTCATAATTTTGTGAAGTCATAAAGAAATCAAACAAGCCCTGTACATGTTGCCATGTAACACCAACACTTCAATCTTCCTATTGAAGGTGTATTCAGTGTCCAACAACGTCCTATGCAATTACACTCAACTACTTCTATTTTGTCTACGTGTCAAACAACAACACATGTAGTTACACTCAATTACTTCTATTTTGTCTCCGTGTCAGTGTCGCGTCAGTATCCGTATAAGGGCTTCATAGAACAATCAACAATATTCATTGTCCAACAACAACAAATGTAGTTATACTCAATAACTTCTATTTTGTCTATGTGTCAGTGTTGTGTCGGTATCCATATAAGTGCTTCATAGAACAATCAATAACAACCACAACAACAACAAAAAGCTCCAAAACCCCAAAAAGAAAATTAACAAAATTTCACCTTGTTAAGAGTTTCAACAATGGTATCAAGTATATGTCTAGATTGCCTATCATAATATTCCTCAACAGTAAGCTTCCAACCAGGATCATTATGTGAATGAGGAACAACAAAAATCTTCAACTTCTCATTATCCCACTCATTCCCTCTATAAGTAACACTCCAACCTTGCTTCCAAGCACCACCATCAACATCCAAAAACTCAATCTTATTATACAAATCTTTTGTGGTTAAGTCAACAGTAGCAGAACCACCAAAAAGTGTAGTACTTCGGTTACCATTCTCACCAAAAAGGGGTTTCCTTGTAAACGATTTTCTGAAGCGAGATGAACGAGTTCTGAAAGGGGATGTGATGGGTTTTGGTACACCGTACCGGAGAAGAATTATAAGGAACAATAACAGAGAAACTAATAACCCAATGAAGAAGAAATTCGAAAAAATGAAATCTTTTAGCAAAGTTCTTCTTCTACCCTTTCTGGGTACCTTTGATTTTGGATTTGAAGATGGTAGAATCGATTGTGCCCAATTTCCTCCACGCCTAGATGAAAAAGGCATGATCTATGATCTATGGTGTAATAGCAAAATTAGGATGAAAAAAAGTGATTTTTTTGGGTTAGAGGAGTAGGGATCTACAGTGATGGAAGGAGGGGAAACCCCACTTAGGGATTTAGAGAATTTGGTGAAATGGAATCTTCAAAATCAAGTTTTGATGAGTGTGTCACTGTGTAGTGAAGGATTGAATTTGTGGGATTTTGTTGGGGGCTTTGGATTTGTCAAGGTGAATGGAAAACTTTGTTTATTTCCACCAAGACATTGGAAAAGTATGCACTAAGGACAAAAATATTGTTCTAGCATACTAACTTAAAATACTAACGTATTTTACAGTCCATATTGAAATATTATAATAATATTTTTTTAATATTTTTTATATTTTATAATTTTTTATTAAAGAGTATACATATAAAATAGTGTTATTAATTAAGTTAATAACTTTATTAATCAATCTTTTATATTAATCAATTTTAATTACTGTTAAAAATTATTTTTAATATCTGAACGTTTATTAATCAACTTCATAACTTCACTAACCAATTTTTTTATATTGTATTAACCAACTTTGATTATTGTTAAAAAAAAATTTTAATATCTGAACGTTTATTAACTAATTTCATCACTTCATTAACCAACTTTTTACATTTCATTAACTAACTTTTTACATTTCATTAACCAATTTTGTTTTACTACTTTAAAGTAACTGTTTATGGACATTGTTCACGAACGTTGTTCAAACATTGTTCACGCACTGTTCAAAAAAAATATTTTTTAATTTTAAAAAACATTGTTCACCGTATAAATACGGTGAACAGTGTATACAGTGTATGTATTGGTGTAGGAATAACAATGTTGTTCACTCAAATTTTAAAATATAAGTTGGTTTGATTTGAGTTGTTTCAAAAGAAAAAAAACAATTATGTAGTGATAAATTTCTAAAAGGTTTAGCAAAGGTGGTAGAGTTGTAGCTTTAAGAAGGGGTGATGACTATATGTCGTCTCTAAGGGAAATTGCTTCATTCCAAAGTGTCTCACAATCGCTTTATTATGGAAAACGTGGAGAAAGACGTTTTTTGGGGAGAGGGAAGTCAGAGTCGATAGTTGATCTACGTCATCTTAGAAAGTATGGATTCAACGATCCACTACTTTGAATGAATTCACTACTGCAAAAACTACTTTTTATGACAACGATTTTATCCCGCATATCAAAAAACTGATGTATAATTCTTGAGAGCGCCATGTTTTTTCTTAAAAAAATATACAATTTATTTTAAAAACTTATGGGTAAACTAATTCATGTTTCGAATACGAACAACTTCAAATTATGTTTTAAAACACAAAATACCTTTTTTGGTCCTTTAACTTTATCTCGAGGTCCATTTTGGTCCCTTAATTTTAAAAGAGATAAAGTTGATCATTTAATTGTTAAATAGTGTCACATTAGTCCTTTCTGTTTGCCCCGTTAGTCAAAGCCAATTTAAGTGTACAAGTGGCGCACACGTGTTGCTGATGTGGAACGTAGGCAACCTTAAAAAAACAAAGTGAATGGTTTTTCTTCATAATCCACATGCAGGGCAATTTTGAAGGAACCCTAGCAGAGTCATTGACGAGTGCATTAGTTGCGACTGTAGGAGAAAAAGTTGCTTGAAGGTGAAACCAAAGACACCGTTGTTGACTAGAGGTATGTTTAACTTGATTTTTCCAGAATTTTTAAATGTTGTAGTTTTGTGGTTTATGAAATCCTTTTGAAAAACCATCTGATCTTACTGGAACAGAAAGAGATCAGCAGCCAGCAACGCGTCGTGAGCTCCTAGTTCGCCAGTGTTGGAGAAGAGAAGGGGTGTATCTGCAAAGCACTCTGATGTTAAAGTAAGTTTCAACATGAGAGAGAAAGCAAGTACAGAAATATGTAGAGAATAGAATACTTGACCCTCTAGTGAAAGAGGGTATTTAAAGTGTGCCCTCAACGCTGGGCCAACGGTTATCTGTACTGCGTTGGATCATCAGGCCTAATACGGATGACTACCAGGACCTACGTGGCGTAGGGAAGACTATCATATGGTCTTCGTCCTGGGTCAACTACCCCGTGATCTTCAGAAGGTAGGTGACATGTTCTTTCGGACGCAGGTAGTTGTCTGATGACGTGTCTCCGCGTGGGGAGCATGCAAAGACCGTGGGCAAGACGCGTGAGCGCTCTCAGTGTGATTATGGATTGGGCCTTACTGGGCCCTCCCCGACAAAGAGTTGACTTGGACAATGTCCGATGGTGGGTCAGCCTCTGGCTCAGTCTAGAACAGAAATCCTCCAAGTCGTTGCTCCGAAGCGGAGGAGTAATGACTTAAGTCAACCCTGGGGTCGAGGAGTGTAACACTCCAAATTCTTGGAATATTTATTTAAATATGAATATTCGCATTTTTGGTAATTTTCGTGATTGGTGTGAAATATTGAGAATTATGGATTTTGGGTTATTTATTTAAATAATAGTATATAATATGAATATATTAGTACCATTATTAATTTAAATAAATATAAGTTAACTAAGGGAAAATTGGACAATTAAGGAGGAGTTAGTGAGGGTAATATTGGAAAAACCCAATTTATAGGCCCAGAGTTAGGTTTAACAAAAAGGGATTCTGAGAGAATTAGGATTCATTCTTATTAGACCGTGAAAAAAGAAGAAATAGAGGTCAGAGCTCTGAGGAAGAGGGTTGAGACAAAAGCTTCAAAAGGTTTTTTGAAAGACAACGAGAAGGCTTAAAGTCGACAATTAAGGTATGATAAGTATTGCCTTCATTGTTTTCAATGTATAATTTCAATGTATTTAAAGTTAATTTAAGAATTTAAAGAGTTTGAGGTTGATTTTGAGATAAAGGGAATTAGGCCTTCGTGGCCAAATCCTATTTGTGAGGTTTTAACCGTATATGGATTTATTTGGGTTGAAAGAAAAGCAGGCCTTCATGGCCAAAGATCTGGTTTGACATTTGTTTAACCCTGTAGAGAAATTAGATAGTGAGAACTCTAATGACTCTGGAGTAGTTGTAAGGAAACTGTCGGAATTGTAGGCATAATCTTAAAACGATGATTAGATGGTTTAGTTGTGTTAAAATTGTAAATTTACTTGAGATAATTATAGTGTTGAATGAGTTATAATTTTCTGAGAGTTTGGTTTTTTACAGAATCAAAATCGGAGTTTCGGAATACCTCCAACGGTGAAAAACGCAAAAAATTGCATGATGTCCATCACGACTGTTCATGTTTTCGGTCGAAATCGTTTTGGACGTAACTTTTGATCAGTAAGTCTATTTTGGTCTCCGTTCGAAGTGTTGGAAATCTAATGAACATGGCTATAACATAGTATAGATAAGAGAATTGGTTGCCCCATATTTTTATATCTAATATGTTTGAGAAGTCAATTGTTTATATGTTCTATTAATGAATTATGTTCTGGTTCAATGATCTCTTGATATTTTGATGCTGTGATTTTTCTGATGAATTACCATGAGTGTAAGTGTGATTGTGATGTGATTAAATGAATGTATGACAAATTACTATGAGTATAACTCTGATTCCTTATGTGATTAAAACATGATTGTATAATGAATTCCCATGAGTAATTGTGATGATTTATGATGTTGATTCCATGAGTTTTTGATGATTATATGATGACATGATTGTCATGATGACTTTGATGAATGATGATGCACATAATGAGTTTATTATAAAGATGATATTGACGCGTGTATCATGCATTCATATGCATCCGGACTTCGGTTTAGGACCTTGATTTCTTTGGCTTCAGTCCCATTGTGCGGATGTAAGGTATTTTGATGTGCTCCGGTTCTCGAGTAGAATCAATCCTATTGATGGGGATCTATGGAGGGTTGATGGTCCAGTGCCCATCGAGCTTTGATGATTGGTACCATATGCATGAGTCTTGTTGCATTTGCATTTATGAGATGACCTGAAGTAATTTATGATGTTGTGGCCTTGATGCCCATTGATGAATATGATGATGTTGAATATGAAAGTGACGTCATTTTATATATTGATTTTCTACATTGATTATTATGAATCGTTTTACTCACCCTGCCTGTTTGAATGTTTTCTCCACGTGGGTAACATGCAGATGACCAGGTTTAGCCGTGGATGTCGTCGAGGATCTTTTCGGTGTTTTGAGTTGTTGGCCATTTTGGTTAATATTGAGGGTCTTGCTCTAATAGTGTAACATCGGGTTGGGGGTCCTTGAGCTAAACCATGTTTTATTTGATTTGGTTGTTTTGATTATGTTCCCATATAAAGAAAACCTTGGATTATGTCTTTTTGAGTTCCGCTGCAATTTTTGATATCTTTTACGGAGCATTGACCTTGATTTGAATTTATTGAGAAATGTAATCCCTTTGAGGTGATTTTTATGGTGTTTAACATTTTACTCTGATAAATGTGACTATTTTGCCTTTAAAATTGTGGGGTAGAAAAGGGTGTTACATTAGTGCTATCAGAGCAGGTCGGTCCTTACGGCCAAGTTGTCTAATGTTATTTGTTCCGTAGTATGCGACATGTGTTTGAAAACACTATCGGTACACGTTTGTTTTCTAACATTTTCCTGCATAAGTGGGAATGAAACAAGTGGGGGAGAAGCTTGTGTTTCTTCAGGATTCTTCAAGTATGGAGTGGTGGTTCAGTGTATCGATGAACGCTCTTATAGTTTGGTAAAGATGGTTTATGCTCCATCATGATTTTCAGTTGTCTATTGAAAAATTGAGGAAATGGTCACCCTTAATCTCTTGTTGATAGTAGACGGAGTCATGTTGGATGGGATAGACGTGTCTTGCAAGCTTAGATGATGTATGCAGTGAATTGCTTTGAGTTAAGCTAAATGCTTACAAATTGTTTTGGTGAGTCAGTGCAGGATGGTGTTGAGATGTTTATTTTGATGGAAACTTTGAGTGTTAATAAAGTGGGGAAATTGGTGGTGTGCCAATTATTTATGATTATCCGAAAAAA